AGAATGGATAGGATTATGTGTGTGTGTATGTGCGCGCATGCGTGCACATAGACGTGTGCACACACAGAAACACACATATAAAAGAGACTAGCCTAACTTTTACATGTGTGTATAAACTCTCGCATCTATTTTTCCCATTTATTTTTTGTAATTAGAAAAAAACATTTCTAAAAACTGAAAAATTCAGAAAAAAACATTTCTAAAAATAATAAAACATAGGTTGGGTTTTTTAGGGGAGCCAAATAACTCCCTTAGACTCCTTTGAAAAACCCAGATACGTTCACGATGGTATTTGCCTAAACTATGCCATAGATTTTTAAATTATTTGTTGTATTTTGTAATGGCTGAGAAATTAGTTTTAAAGAGTTTTGATAAGTAGCAGCTGCTTCATTACCCTAAACCTTTAAGCATGTGTATGACAACTTTAAACCCAAGAGATGTTCATTGAACTGCTAACATCCACTGGACTGATAACATGAAGTTACATAGTTGTATGACTGAGGCCTTGAAGCACAACATAATCAGCTGATTGTGGTTTTGCTACAGATTTCCCCATGCTATGGGGAGAAAACTGCTGGCTGCAAGTGGGAGATGTAAAGGCAAAGAATGTCATGGGACAGAAGACACATTTGCAGGTTTCTAAATGACATTTGTTAGAATTGAAAGCTGGCCTACAATTCCTTCCTGAACAGTTTTAGTGATGAATTAAAGTTATGAATTTCTTAGAAAAGCAGATTCATAAGATGATGCAGCTTGCATAAGAAAAGCCATATATAAGAAAAACAGACTATAGTCTATCTTATTACCGTTGACATATATTGTGAAATGAACTCTTTAGATAAACAGTACTTGGAGTTTAATATTTCACCATATGGCATTAAGGTTTGAGGCCTGAATTTCAGCATTGTTCAACTTGTTATCACAGGCAGCTCAATGTGGTAGATAACATGACTTCATGCTAGGGAAAACAGGTAGAAACCTGCATGGTTCTCTCTCAATCAGACAGTGATCTCAGAATTACATACAAGCAAGTCATTGTTGAGAATTTACATAGAGCAAGCAGTTTACTTTTTCTCTTGCATACAGCCCACCAGAGCTTTTGCAGAAAAGTTAAAGACACATCTGGACAACTTCTGCGGGGAAGTACCTGAGGTACTGAAGAACTCTGTGGCTGAAAGCAGTTACTGCACAGTGAAGTGGTAACTTCTTAAGGTGGACAACAATTTATAAAAATATTTCTCTGATTAGATAATGACATGAATGTATTAGTTTATAAAATGTAGCTGGTCCCAATATGGTCCTTTGGGTACATAAACAATATGTATACACAATACACTGTACTGATTAATTGAGACCGGTGTCAATGATAATGATCATCTTCTAGAATGAACTGTTACATTTTCATTAAGATGACTGAACTGCAGCCATCTCTGAGGTGAGGAAAGCAGCAGACAATGGTTGGGTTTAAGAAGAGGGTAGGGAATACCCGCCATATGCCTTCAGAGAGATTAGGATTTTCCTCTGTTGCAGTGTCTTGACATGAAAACCATCATTCCATGTCAGTGTAGACCACCTGATTTCACATGTCACCAACAAGCACTGAGAACAGGTGGTGAAAAAGTTCTTTCCAAAGTGATTGCATGATCCCAAAATACCTTCCTTAGAATACGGATTGCAAAGCACCAGCAGGCAAATTTCAGGTTCCTGTAAACACAGTCCTTTCAAGCCTGGTGCTAGAACACTAGTCATAGAGAAGTCGGGCTGGAATGGACCTCCAGAGGTCATCTAGTCCAACCCCCTGCCTGAGGCAGGATCATCGTTATCCAAATCACTCCATACAACCATAATCTAAATACTACATACTATATAAGACCACCATCAGCTGTGACTCAGCATAGACCTAACACCCTAGCCTGCCACAGGTAAAGCAGGAGAACCAAAGCAGCCAATGTCCTGGTTCTATAATGTTGTCAATATGCACTCAAGAGGTCCCAGGTCAAGGGCCATGCCCCATGCCCCCTGCCCCCAGAGGAAGGCAACCAAAAAGGTGATCAGTTTGACCCTGAGGGTAGGGGCAAGACCCCCTAGCCAGGAACCTGTGGCTTTGGTCCCAGCAGGAGCATTGGCACATCCCAGTCAAAGTCCCAGACTTGGCTGTAGGCAACACTCAACACCTGTGGGAAGGCCTAAAAACACCTTGACACATATAGCAGAAAAAAGGTGGGGGCAGAAGTAGGAGCAACCAGCAAAGCCCAGAAGCATGGGGAATACCCATGGTAGAATAGGCACAGCTATGCCTAGATCATTCCTGACCACAGGTGTCCAACCTCTTCTTGAACACCTCCAGTGATGGAGAGCCCACGACTTCCCTAGGCAGTCTATTCTACTGCCTCACTGTTTTAATCGTGAAGAATTTTTTCCAGGTATCCAAACTGAATGTACTTTCCTACAGCTTCAAGCTATTGGTCTGCATCCTCCACTCTGCAGCAAGGGAGAAAAGGTTGTTTTGCTCTTCTTTATGGCAGCCCTTCACGTATTTGAAAACTGCTATCATGTCCCTTCTTAAGCACCTTTTCCGCAAGCTGAACAAGCCTAGCTCCTTCAGCCTCTCCTCATATGACTTTCTTTCCAAGCTTTTGATCATCTTTGTTGCCTGCCTCTGGACACTCTCTAACTTCTCCACATCCTTTTAAAAATGTCCCTCACTTTCCATTGTGAAACAGTAAATTGAGCTCTTAGAAGTGAGGTAGTGACACGCTTACAATAAAAACAAACCACATCAAAAGAAGAATACAGTCAAAAGTATCCAGGTAACAGGAAAGAAGCTGGCAGCTGCTCTAAAGGTTTCAGAATTTCAAAGCATTTGAAAAGCTGCAGATCAAGGCAGCAAATGGTTTGCAGGGGCATGTGGCTACCCAGATTTGAGCTGCGTTTTGCATTCTAATACTGTGCTAAAATCTACCGCAAATAAAATATCACCTCCCTGCATATTCTGTTCTATGGAATGACACTAGCTCTTCTGTTATCATACTATACCTCTCTTTGCTTTGGAATAATTGAGATAACTGAAATGATGTATTTTAAACTGCTAGTCTTACTTCAACTTGAGAACAGAATTCAAGATGGATTCTTTCTTGTCTGGTCATCACTAATAATAGATAGCAAGTAGGCCAATTTTTTGTCCTCAGATATAATTAAACCAAAACAGTGCCATAACTGATGGCAAAGGTATAACTAGAGAATTTGCCCACGTGGATTTTAGTAAGCTATTCTGTTGCTAGGAATATTCCAGTTCATAACAGTGGCTCTACAAGACAGTTGTAACCTATTTATTCACACAATAAACACATGCAGTTCTAGATAGGTACAGAGCAGATACACTGCATTAAAAGACATCATTTTAAAAAGGAACTGTAAAATCTTTTAAATCATACTCCATATAAACCATTAACAATAGCCAGAGCAAGCAA